GACTACTCGCGTTACACCACAGTCTTCCCCTTGCGCAGCAAGGGCGACGTCACTGAGGTGTTGATCGACTGGATCCGCGCAGCTCGTCTCCAGCTCAGAGAGAGTTTCGGCTCGGACTTTCCTGTTCTGCGTCTGCACTCTGACAGAGGCGGGAGTTTTCCTCTGCCCGTCTGAGGCCTTCTGTCAAGCACAGGGCATCCGTCAAACCTTCACGCTTCCTGCCTCTCCGCAGCAAAATGGGATTGCTGAGCGCCGCATTGGCATGGTCATGGACGTCTCTCGTACGTCCATGATCCATGCGGCTGCCCCCCATTTTCTGTGGCCGTTTGCAGTTCAGTACGCAACGCATCAGCTCAACCTCTAGCGCCGGGTCTCCTTGCCAGAGACCTCCCCCACCCTGCGGTGGACGGGGACGGTTGGCGATGCGTCTGCGTTTCGGGTCTGGGGATCTCGGGCGTTTGTTCGCGACTTGTCTGCGGACAAGTTGTCCCCCCGTACTGTTCCCTGCGTCTTCCTTGGCTTCCCCCCTGACGCGCCTGGTTGGCAGTTTTACCACCCCACCTCGCGCCGTGTTCTGTCCTCCCAGGACGTCACCTTTGACGAGTCGGTGCCTTACTACCGTCTCTTCCCCTACCGCACTGCGCCCCTCCTCCCGCCGCCGCTCTTCCTTTCGCCAGGTCCTCCCCCGGTAGCCCCCCTCCCCCCTCAGGGTCCTGCCCCGTCAGGTGTGTCCCAGGTAGACGCAGTCGAGCCTGTCGAGGTAGCTGTTGACTCTGGTGCTGCTAGAGGTGCTGAGCCTTCGGTGTGCCGGGTCTGGAGGTGCTGAGCCTGGGGGTGCTGAGTTTAGGGGTGCGGAGCCAGGGTGTGCTGAGCCTAGGGGTGCTAAGTCTGGGGGTGCTGAGCCTGGGGGTGCTGAGTCTGGGGGTGCTGAGCCTGGGGGTGTTGGATCTGCTCGTGTGGCCCCGCGCGGTGCTTCTTCGAGGCAAGTTCCACTCTCTCCGCAGGAGCTGCGCGAGTGGTTTGCCCGCCGCTGGAGCCGTGCTGCTAGAGCTGGAGGTACTACTGTTGCTGCTGGTGTTGCTGGAGGTACTGCTGGAGCTGCTGGCGGTAATGGAGCTACCGGTCCTGCTGGAGTTGGTGCTGCTGGAGCTGCTGGGGGTGTTTGGCGCTGGTGGTGCTGCTGGCGCTGGTACGTCTAAGGGTGCTGGAGTTGGCGCTGTTGGAGCTGGAGGTCCTGCTGGCGCTGGTGCTGCCGCTGGAGGTACTGGTGCTGTCCCTGCTGGTTCTGGAGGCGCTGCGCGGCCGAGGCCGTACTTCGTTTGGCTCCTTGAGCAGGTTCTTGGTCTTCCGCCTTCTACTGGTCCTGCCCCTCCCTTAGCGTGTCCACCACCTGTCCAGTCGCAGTCACAGTTACAGCCCGCCTCCCCCCTGCCTGCTCCTTCTCCCTACACTGGTCCTACTGGAGGTCTTGCTGAGCGTCGTGAGCCTGCGTCTCGTCCTGCGTCGCCTGTTTGTGCTGCTCGCACTGGTGGTCGTACTGCGCGTCCGCGTCCTCCTGCAGTCCCAGGCACACACCAGATAGCACTGCGTCCTTCCACTGCTCCTCTGCGTGTCCCGTTGCCGTCTCCTCCAGAGTCCTCTCTTCCTACTCTTGCTGACCCGGAGTCTAACTCTCTTCGTGCTGCCAGTCCTTCTATCACGCGTCTCTTGGCTACTGTTGTCACTGACCCTTCCTTTGATTCCATTGCTGCGTCTGCCCTAGTTGCTGAGCTTGTCGATTTCGCTGCTCGCTGTCGTCTAGACTACGCTGCTAGTCTTGCTGCTGAGTCTGAGTCTGTCTGTCCTCCGTCCGTCAGGGGTGAGTGTGCTCTTAGTACGGACGTCCTTGAGGACAGGCATGAGAAGTTCCAGTGTTTTGCTGGTGCTTTGCCTCATCTCGTGTCCACGCTGATTGCCCCTGAGGGAGACCCGGATGCACCAGACATCCCGACTCCTCGATCGTACGCTGAGGCGATAGAGGGTCCCTACTCCTCTTTGTGGCAGTCAGCCATGGACGCAGGGATGGCTTCCTGGAAGTCCACAGGCACCTACGTCGACGAGGTTCCCCCACCTGGGGCGAACATCGTCAGTGGCATGTGGATTTTCAGGGTGAAGCGGCCGCCGGGTTCTCCGCCTGTCTTCAAGGCGCGTTACGTGGCTCGAGGCTTCAGTTAGCGGCAGGGAGTTGACTACTTTCAGACCTTCTCTCCCACCCCGAAAATGCCCACTCTTCGGGTGCTGCTGCACATAGCCGCTCAGCGCGACTACGAGCTTCACTCTCTTCACTTCAGCACAGCTTTTCTGCAGGGCAGCCTGCACGAGGAGATCTGGCTGCGCCGCCCACCTGGCTTCACTGGGTCGTTTCCTCCTAGTACCCAGTAGAGCCTCCGGCGGCCAGTCTACGGTCTCCGCCAGGCGCCCCGTGAGTGGCACGACACACTGAGGACTACACTTGCGGCTCTTGGGTTTGCTCCTTCTACAGCCGACCCGTCGCTGTTTCTGCGCAACGACACCTCTTTGCCGCCGTTCTACATCCTCGTGTACGTCGACGACTTGGTCTTTGCCACTGCTGACACTGCTGGACTCGCCCACGTGAAGTCCGAGCTGCAGAAGAGACACACGTGCACAGACCTAGGTGAACTGCGCAGCTACCTTGGCTTGCAGATCACCCGGGACAGAGCACAGCGCACCATTACCCTGACTCAGTCACACATGGTGCAGCAGGTCCTTCAGCGCTTCGACTTCACGTACTCCTCGCCTCAGGCCACTCCTCTGTCTACTCGCCACTCGCTCTCAGCTCTGCCTTCGGATGAGTCCGTAGAGCCGAATGGCCCGTACCCAGAGCTTGTTGGCTGCCTCATGTACCTGATGACTTGCACTCGACCTGACCTTGCATACCCTCTTAGCATCTTGGCACACTATGTTGCTCCTGGGAGACACCGACCAGAGCACATGGCTGCAGCGAAGAGGGTGTTGCGCTACTTGTGCAGTACGTCGGGCATGGGGCTAGTGCTTGGAGGGCGACGTCGAGTGGTCCTCACAGGTCACGTAGATGCTTCTTGGGCTGACGACCAGGCTACGCAGCGGTCGTCACAGGGTTACACCTTCAGCCTTGGCTCCGGCTCTGTTTCATGGCGGTCTACCCGCTCGTCTTCTGTTCTCGGCTTCAGTTGTGAGGCTGAGATCTACGCGGGGGCCATGGCTGCACAGGAGCTACGCTGGCTCACCTACCTGCTGACTGACCTAGGAGAGCCGCCTCGTTCTCCTCCAGTTCTGTATGTAGACAACAAGGTCATGCTGGCCTTGTGTCGGGAGCACAGACTGGAGCACAGAATGAAGCACATTGCTCTTCGCTACTTCCTTGCTCGTGAGCTGCAGCACCGTGGTCAGCTGCGCCTTGCTTACGTGTCCTCTGAGGCCAACACTGCTGATGTGTTCACCAAGGCACTTCCGCCAGGTGATCATCAGCGCTTCTGTACTATGCTAGGTCTTGTGCCTACTTGGCCTCACTTGCTTACTTCTTGACCTTGCTTGTACTGTGATCTTTCTATACCTACACTTGCTTGTTTACCTTTATATATGATCTTGCATGTGAACTGGTCTTTTGGCCTTGCTGTTGTGCTCGGATTGTGTGGTGACGTTGTGATCCACCATGAGCTTGCTTTGCTTTGCTTGACTGGTCTTGTGACCTCTTGTTCTCCCCCACTTTGCCTATGGGGGTGTGTCAAACTCATATGCTATAGTCTGTGTAGGCTGTAGTGGGGTAGACAATATCCACCATGAGCTTGCTTTGCTTTGCTTGACTGGTCTTGTGACCTCTTGTTCTCCCCCACTTTGCCTATGGGGGTGTGTCAAACTCATATGCTATAGTCTGTGTACGTTGTAGTGGGGTAGACAATATGGGGTACAACACTTCTAGGTTTTCCTACTTGTACCCACCTGCTTGCTAGTTCATTCATTCCTCATTCTTGACAAACATGATGACACTGAATTGGGGTCGATCTCGCTTTCGTTTTTTTTTTTTTTTTTTTTTTTTTCTCTCATCGTTTTTTCAATCGTGTGTTCCTCAACCCACGCACAAAGCAGCAGCAAAAATTGCGACGTACACGAACTGCTTCGTAATGAGTTACCGAAGTCGGATTCGGTCGCGAACTCTTTTTTTATATACCAGGTAACCTACGAAACGTTTGCGCGACTCGGGATTTACTGTATAGATTCGACCTTTGACATGCGATCTCTATTTGTCCATGTGTTTGATCGGAAAAAAGAGGACAAAAATGAGAAGGGAAAAAAAGTTTTTTTTTTTTTTTTCAGGATAGTCAACTACAAGTCGACCAAGGTTCAAATGCAGAAAGTCGAAAAAAACATAGAACTTTACAATACACTCCAAAAGACACACGCCCTAATTTGACTTCCTGAATAAATTTCCTTTTATACATCGATATCTGTGGACTCCGTGAATGGGCAAATTGATCGCTTCCATGATTGGACGGATACCTTTTCCAGCCGCCAACCAGAAATGCTTTGCCAACTCGTCTGATGCGATTGGTTGTTTTTGACCAGATTCGCCTGGAGGCAGGGCTCCCTAGACCCAAACAAGTTCAGCTCTGCGGTTTGGGAAGTACCGATCAAGCCCTGATCTCAAACCTCCTGGACTCGTCCTCATTTCGGCATTCCCGTGAACCAGACCGCACGACGGTTTCGTTTCTGTCAAATGCGACATTCTGAATACGACACCACCTCAGCAGGCTCATAGGGCAGAGAGAGAAGAACCTGAAATTTGAGACTTTGCATCACGCCCTACGACCTAAGATCACAGTTATCAGCCAATCCTTACCTCCTCGCGCTTGCTTTCCTTCATCCATCTTTCTTTGCAGCTTATTCATTACCATTACCGTGTTCCCACGTTTATTTCTGTAGTTGGTGTTTCTTCGAGTCAAGGTTGTGGTCAGCAAGCCATCATGCCTCCTGCTGTGGTCGACAAGGAGGCCAAGGAGGCCTTAGCGAAGGATGCGCTTGAGAAGTTTCTGAAGATTGGCCTGGACGAAAAGACCGCTCAGAATGCCGTCGCGAACGCCAAGGTCACCGCGAACCTCGTCGAAGTGATCAAAGAGGTACGAGACTTTCGCGAACCTGCGCGAAGCGGTTGGATCGAGTTCGCTGGATAGAACAACAAATCTCAGGAACTGTTAACCGTTGCCTCGATCCCAGTGTCCAGCACTTGCGATTCGGTGAGCCAGGTGTAGCGCCTGGATCTCAGCCGCTCCTAGGTTCTGCCTGCAGTTACCCGTTGCCTGGATCAAAACCGTGGCCAGGTTCTATCTTCTGTTATCCGTTATCCTTGATCTCGGGCATTGTGTTGAACACTCTGTCTCTGTGTCTGCTCGTCAATATATCCGCAACCAGTCAATCTATCGCAGTACTTCCAGCTTCGAATCGTTCCTCTTCGCGCATTTTCTCACGAAAATCTCCCTGAAATTCCTCCCAGGCAGCTCTCGAAGACGGGTGCGACAAGGCCATTGGCAACTTACTCTACACGGTGGGTTTTGCCGCACACGATTCATTCCGCCGAATCTAGCGTGGGTCAATTCAACGGGTGCACGTATTGCTGTATGCCACGAGTTCTTTCCGCTGCACACGATCCAACGGGTTAGATGTGCAATGGTGGGTTCCGTTGTGTGAAACCCGGTGCACAACGGTGGTTTTGGTTGAACCCGTTGTGACCATGGCGGGTTCCGCTGCACAAGGTTCGCTGTGCCTGTTAATACTCACCCATTGCCAACCCGATGCACACCCATTGCCAACCCGATGCACACCCATTGCCAACCCGATGCACACGCATTGCCAACCCGATGCACACCCATTGCCAACCCGATGCACACCCATCGCCAACCCGATGCACACCCCTTGTCAATTTGAATCGGAGTGACTCTAAATCCCCTTTCCATCTTCCCTGTCCCCTGCTACTGGCCTCATCTCTCCTCAGGTTGCCACCAAGTTCCCTGCCAATGCGCGCGTGCACCGCCCCACGCTGCTGTCCTATGTCACTTCCCAGAAGGTGAGCGTAATATCTGTCAGAGAACACCCTAAAACACCAAGGCAATACTTCTTTTTTGGGGGTTGTTGAAGTACACCTACAATAACATATACATCCTCGAAGAACTTGACTTTTGAGAATTCTGAAAAGTTACTCCCAAATACATCCTCGAAGAACGTGTGTACTCCTTGTGAGATTTCCTCGTTGAGGTTTTCTCAAGCTGACGTACAGTTGCAGTCACGTATTGAGCTAGTGGTACCTATCTGACGTTGAACCGTAAAATCACCCCTTGCTGCGATCTCATGGTGCATCCTCTCCACTCTCTCTCCTGCCTCCACTCACTTGCCCCCATTACAGATCAAGACGGTGCCTCAGCTGGAGGGAGCTCACGCATATCTGGCAACTGTGGGTCAGGAGCCTCTCAACACCGCTGAGCTGGAGGCAAAGAGTGGAGTAGGTACGTGGGGGTGCTAGCTGGGAGAGCCGTGGAGGGCTGTTCTTGTAAACAATATAAAACACTCACCCATATCCGGCGACTTCTGGCCAGGAGCCTTGCAGCACTGCTGAACTGGAAACTATGATCAATCTAGGTACATACATGGAGGTTTTGGAGGCGGCTCAATAAACAGGTTCACAAATAATGCGAGCGACTGTGGGTCAGACCCATAAGTGCCAGAGCAATGCGTAGCCGGATGCGGAGGAGAGTGGTGGTGTAGGTATGGGGGAAGGTGGGGAAGGGGAGGAGGAATACGAGGTGCTCGTCAGCCCTTGTACTTGTACTGAGGAGGAATATGCTATGTCATCCCTTGTACTGACGCACTACTATGCTGGCTCGTCTGCTCGCCGTCCAAACCTTCGCTCTTGTGTGACAGGAAGAGTGGGAGGCGTGTCTATCATGTCCCCTATGCTGTCTGATCTTCTCCTCCCTTCCTGTTTTTCAGCCGTCTCAAAAACAGTCTTCTATGTCACCCGTGCTGTCTTATCTCCACGCCCTCTGTTGATTTTGCAGGCGTGGAGGTATCAGTGGAGGACATAAAGGCAGCAGTCACTGAGGCTGTGACGGCGGTCAAAGAGAAGCTGGTGGAGGAGCGATACCGCTTCAACGGTGAGCTTTTCTCGTCCTCAACAGCTGCTGTCATTTGTGGGCCGACTCAAGAATAGAAATAAGGCACCAGCAAGTGAGGCTGTATTGGCGGGCAAAGAGAAGCTGGTGAAGGGGCGATACCGCTTCAACTGTGAGTTGTGTCTCTGCGTAGTGAGTGGGGCTGTAGCGAGTGGGGCTGTAGTGAGTGGGGCTGTAGTGAGTGGGGCTGTAGCGAGTGGGGCTGTAGCAAGTGGGGCTGTAGCGAGTGGGGCTGTAGCAAGTGGGGCTGTAGCAAGTGGGGCTGTAGTGAGTGGGGCTGTAGCGAGTGGGGCAGTAGCGAGTGAGGCTGTAGCGAGTGGGGCAGTAGCGAGTGGGGCTGTAGCGAGTGGGGCTGTAGCGAGTTGGGCTGTAGCGAGTGGGGCTGTAGCGAGTGGGGCTGTAGCGAGTGGGGCTGTAGCGAGTGGGGCTGTAGCGAGTGGGGCTGTAGCGAGTGGGGCTGTAGCGAGTGGGGCTGTAGCGAGTGGGGCTGTAGCGAGTGGGGCTGTAGCGAGTGGGGCTGTAGCGAGTGGGGCTGTAGCGAGTGGGGCTGTAGCGAGTGGGGCTGTAGCAGCAGTCAAAAGAGAAGCTGGTGGAGGAGAGATCCAGTTTCAATGGTGAGCCTGTTTCTGCTTCAACAGCTTTCTGACTCTTCTGCTTTCCTCATTCCAACCCAGCTCCTGTTCCCCCGCTCTCGTTCCTCACCCTTTTCTCCACCTCCCTTCGAGCCTCCTCTCACCCCGTCTCACGACCCCTTTGCACCTCCTCTCACCCCACCCTTTTTCACCCACACGCACCCCTCCGCACCCCATCTCACCCCTGCAGTGGGTCTCATTCTCGCCAAGGTTCGAGGGCTGCAGCCATGGGCGGATGGCAAGCTGGCCAAGGTGGGTCCCTCCCTCCCCGAACCCTCTTTACCCTCTCTGAACCCTTGCTCTTCCCTCTCTGAACCCTTGCTCTTCCCTCTCTGAACCCTTGCTCTTCCCTGTCTGAACCCTTGCTCTTCCCTCTCTGAACCCTTGCTCTTCCCTGTCTGAACCCTTGCTCTTCCCTCTCTGAACCCTTGCTCTTCCCTCTCTGAACCCTTGCTCTTCCCTCTCTGAACCCTCGGAAGGTTCACAGTGTGCTCTCTGACAGTCTCTGCATCTCTGCACAGAAGTGCGTTGAGAGTGTGCTGAGCGGTGCCGGCTGTGTTTTACCCTGGACTGGACCTGTGCATCTGTGCGAGCAGGAGGAGGTGGATGCACAGGTGCTGGCTGTACTCGGCCCCAAGACAGAGGCGGGCGAGGCAAAGCCCGCCAAGACGAAGAAGGAGAAGAAACCCAAGGGGGTCGATGCTCCCGCTGCTGCTGCTGCTGCTGCTGCTGTTGTTTTCGAGTCCACTCAAATGTCACGCCCATGCCCATTGTCTGTGCGAGCAGGAGGAGGTGGATGCACAGGTGTTGGCGGTGCTGGGGCCAAAGACAGAGGCGGACGAGGCCAAACCCGCCAAGAAGAAGAAGGAGAAGAAACCCAAGGGGGACGACTCCGCCGGGGGAGAGGCAGGCGACAAAGCAGCAGGCACAGCAGGAGCAGCGGGGGCAGCGGGAGCAGCAGGGTTGGCAGTGGGGGTGGATGGAGGGGAGGAGTCAGACCCGTATGCTATCTTCCCCAACCCGCAGGATAACAACAAGGTGCGATCATCTCACTCCCTGAACATTTGAGTCCACTCAAGTCTCGTCGATAGCAGCAGGGGCAGCAGTGGGAGTGGATGGAGGGGAGGAGTCGGATCCATATGCTATCTTCCCCAACCCGCAGGAAAACAACAAGGTGAGCACACTCGCTGCCACAATCCAACAACAAGGTGCATGACACGTAGCTTGAGGCCAGCTTTGGGCCAGCTTGGGGCAGGCTTGCGACCTCGTCCTCCTCCTCAATCTTTCATCCCCTTCACCCTTCCCAGCCCGTACAATCCTTCAAAGTTCACGTTAAGGTTAGCTCTATAGTCACTGCCCGCTCCTCCCCTCCCCGCCCCCCGCAACCCCCCTTCCTCCTGTCCTCATTCCGTTGGCCTCTCAGGTGCGCACGGAAAGAATCCCCTTGAGGCGGCTCAGAAGGAGATGGTTCGCAGCAACGGCACTGCATAGCGTCTCCAGAGCATCCGGGGGGATGCTTTCACAGGACAGGAGAAGGGTGGTATTGAGACGTCTCAAAACCACCCTTCTTTCACGTTTCTCCAGACCATCTGGTAGGATGCATACACAATACAGGAAAAGCCCCAGTCTGTCCTCCCCTCCACGTATTTCACATCCACCCAACCCCAACTCCCCTCCCTTCCCCCTCTCTCAGGTGCACACGGAAATATTCTTCAGTGACAGCACTGTGTGGCTTCCCAAGAACAGCCGTGAGGCACTTGAGAAGCACCTGGCAGTCAATCCCTCACACTTCCCTTTCTACCTTTCAACCCCCCCCCCCCCCGCCCCCCCTCTCGCAGGTGCACACGGAGATCTTCTTCAGTGACAGCACCACATGGCGCCCCAAGAACAGCCGCGAGGCCCTCGAGAAGCATCTGGCAGTGACGGGGGGAAAGGTGTGGTCGCGCTTTCCTCCCGAGCCCAACGGCTATCTGCACATCGGGCATGCCAAGGTGAATACAAGGTTCTCTGGGTGCGTGGCATGGCAGATACGTTCTCAGGCGCCTTAGAGATCAGATGCTGGATAGAAAGTGTTGTAATCATGGAGGGGAAGGTGTGGTCGCGCTTTCCCCCCAAACCCAACGGCTACCTGCACATCGGGCATGCCAAGGTGAAAGCACGGTTCCCTGGGTGCGTGGCAGATACGTTCTCAGGCCCCTTAGAGATCAGATGCTGCATAGAAAGTGTTTGAGTCATGGGGGGAAGGTGTGGTCGCGCTTTCTCCCCGAGCCCTATGGCTAGGTAAATTCATATCAGTGTTCTCTCTTCCATGTGTCCCCATCCCTGTTCTCCCCAGGCCATGTATGTGGACTTTGGCCTTGCTAAGGAGAGAGACGGCAACTGCTACCTGCGGTGAGTGCTCTCGCCATGAAGACATATGCCTTTTCCCGCTCTCCTCTGTTTTGTCGTTTCCATGCTCGTGTTTTCCTAAGTGGAGAAAACCGCTTTGTACTCCTGCTTCTCTCTTCCGTCGTTCTCTGCTCTTCCGCACCCTCTGCTCCGCTCTCTCCTCTCACTCTTCACCCCCAAGGTACGATGACACCAATCCAGAGGCGGAGAAGCAGGAGTTACATCGATCACATTGAGGCTTGAGCCCCCCCTCCTCTCAACCCCTTCTTTTGACCCCTCCTCTTGACCCTTCCTCTGCCTTTCCCACCCCACACGCTGCTCTCCCCTCTCATTCGTCATCCCCTAGGTATGATGACACCAACCCAGAGGCGGAGAAGCAGGAGTACATCGATCACATTGAGGAGATAGTTTCTTGGCTGGGGTGGAAACCGTTCAAGGTGAGAGCTTGATTTGGTTCACAACAGCTTGTGAACACAAGTGCACAGAATGTGTGGAAGGGAGAGGAGTAGGAGTAGGAGTAGGAGTAGGAGTACATAGACCAATTTGAAGAGATAGTCTCATGGCTGGGGTGGAAGCCCTACAAGGTGCGTGCAAGACGTGAGTACCGTGAGTGAGTTGCAGGTAGGAACAGATTCTGATTCGTATTACCCCACAACCTCCACCCACCCATTCCCCCTCCCCCCCCTTAACCTCACGTGCAAAAGCAGCTCGTCAAGGGCAGGTTTCCCTCTCCCCTCCCTCCCTTCTCCTCCCCTCACTCTTCTGTCCTCCAGATCACCTACAGCAGCAACTACTTCCAGGAGCTTTATGACCTGGCAGTGCCGCTCGATTGATTTTGAGGCGCCGCAGAAATCGCCTTTTGAGGCGCCTCAATTATCGCCTACAGCAGGGACTACTTCCAGGAACTTTACGACCTGGCAGTGCCGCTCGATTGATCAGTCTCATCGCTCCCCGTTTCCCCCCTTCTCCATCTCCCCCCTTTCCCCCTGTGCCCCTATTGCCTTCCCGCTCCCAGATCACCTACAGCAGTGACTACTTTCAGGAACTCTACGACCTGACAGTGCAGCTGATCAAGTCAGTGTCTGTGTGTGCTACCCCCTGCTCCTCTCACGCTCCTGTACCGCTCTCCCTTCTGCCCCTATCCCTTCCCCCCTCCCCACCAGATCACCTACAGCAGCGACTACTTCCAGGAGCTCTATGACCTGGCAGTGCAGCTGATAAAATCCGGCCATGCATACGTGGACCACCAGACAGCGGAGGAGATCAAGCAGTACCGCGAGAAGCACCTGGAGAGCCCGTGCTTTGTCTGCCCCCATCTTTCCCCCCCCCCCTCCATCCCCACTCCCTTACCCACCTCCCACCAGGTCACCTACAGCAGCGACTACTTCCAGGAGCTCTACGACCTGGCAGTGCAGCTCATCAAATCCGGCCATGCATACGTGGACCACCAGACAGCTGAGGAAATCAAGCAGTACCGCGAGAAGCACCTGGAGAGCCCGTGGAGAAACAGGCCTGTGGAGGAGTCGCTCAAGCTGTTTGAGGACATGAGGAGAGGGTTGGTGGAGGAAGGGGCGGCTACGCTGAGGATGAAGCAGGATATGAGAAACGAGAACCCCAACATGTGGGACCTCATTGCCTATCGCATCAAGGTGAGTCAGTGCGTGCATGGTGGGTGAGGGGGTGTGCTGGTAAGGGGTGGTGAGGGCTGGTGGAGGAAGGGGCGGCTACGCTGAGGATGAAGCAGGACATGAGAAACGAGAACCCCAACATGTGGGACCTCATTGCTTATCGCATCAAGGTGAGTGAGGCATCATCTCCTGGGTACGTGGGTGCCTGGAAATCTCTTTGCGAAGGGTGCTACAGCCAGCAGCATTCGAGCACAGCCATGGCCTACAGCATGGGGCAGCACGTGGGTACAAGGCTACAGGGCCATGCTGTAGGCCATGTAGCCCTGCTGCAGGGGAGCAGACAGCAGCATTCGAGCACAGCCATGGCCTACAGCATGGGGCAGCACGTGGGTACAAGGCTACCACTCGCTCTGCTGCCCCGTGCCACGTGCCCCATGCCCCATGCCCGGTGCCCCATGCCCCGTGCCCCATGCTCCATGCCCTACAAACCCCTGCAGTTCACACATGTAGAAAGTGTATTTTTTAGATGTCTCAAAAATACACTCTCTACACGTGGGCCATCCTCCATGCCCGAGAAACCCCTGCAGTTCACCCCGCAGGCGACAAGTGGTGCATTTACCCCAGCTACGACTGCATTCACTGCATCATCGACCCATCCCCATGCCCCTTGCCGTTTACTCCGTGCCCCATTCCCCATGGCAGTTCACCCCGCACCCGCACGTGGGAGACAAGTGGTGCATCTACCCCAGCTACGACTACACACACTGCATCATCGACTCATACCCATGCCCCCTGCCCCCTGCCCCATGCCCCGTGCCCCATGCCCTATGCCCCATGCTCCACTCCCCATATCCCATGCCCGATGCCCCATATCCGATTCCCCATGACAGTTCACCTCACACCCACACGTGGGAGACAAGTGGTGCATCTACCCCAGCTACGACTACACGCACTGCATCATCGACTCACTCGAGAACATCACACACTCTGTGAGCTCACGTTGCCGTGCCTGCACTTCATTCACACCATTTTGCCCGTACCCACATCTAGTGCCACATGCATCGATCCAGACTGCATCTACCCCAGCTACGATTACACACACTGCATCATCGACTCACTCGAGAACATCACACACTCTGTAAGGCCTTCACAGCTAAGACCTCAAACCATGTTGCCATAAGCACATGCACGTGCATCCGCCCCAGCTGTCTACCCTAGCTACACTACGACTACACACACTGCATCATCGACTCACTCGAGAACATCACACACTCTGTGAGCCCACATTGCCTTTCCGTTTTGAGAACTCTCATCATGCTGTTTGTGGACACACCCACAACCCCTCAAACTAAGGTGACTTTTGAGTCGACTCAAAAGACGCACCCACAACCCCTCAAACTATTCCCGCTTGTGGTAACAGCCAGACCTAGTGCCACATGCCCGATCCATCTACCCATCTTTCCCATCCGCTTTATCTACCCGAGCTCCATCTACCCCATCTGCCCCATCTTGCCCTTTCTGTCTGTATGTGTCTGCCAGTTGTGCGTGTGCATGCATGTGTCCACTCGTCTGCAGCTGTGCACGTTGGAGTTTGAGACACGGAGGGTGTCCCACTACTGGCTGCTGTAGGCGTGTGGGATGACTGCTGATGTTCACACTCATCCCCTGTGCCTGCGCACGTCTCTGATCTGGTCTGATCTGCAACCCCTCTGCAGCTGTGCACGTTGGAGTTTGAGACGCGGAGGGCATCCTACTACTGGCTGCTGGAGGCGTTGGGTCTGTACCATCCGTACGTGTGGGAGTATGCGCGCCTTAACATCACCCACACCATGCTTTCCAAACGGAAGGTGCGAGTGAAGTATGGGAGTATGTGGCTCAGTTTCAATAAAAAGAGGGGGTTATGCTCGGCTTACTTGACTGTTGGTTGCTGGAGGCGTTGGGTCTGTACCATCCGTATGTGTGGGAGTAAGCCCGCCTCAACATCACCCATATCATGCTGTCAAAGCGCAAGGTGTGTTGAATGAATGAATATGCCTTGTCAATATGGGCATTCGTGCAAGCAGTCAGGCATGCACATGCAGCTTAATTGGGGCTGTACCACCCATACGTGTGGGGGTATGCTCGCCCTCAACATAACGGCCATCACCCATACACGTGGCTGTTGACCCACCTTGTGATGGATAAGGCTCTTCAAGCGCAAGGTGTGTGTGCGCAAGGTAGGTAGGGGCGTATGCGATTTTGTTTGAGGTTGATTTTGAGAATTCTCAAAATCAACCCACCTTGTGATGGATAAGGCTCTTCAAGCGCAAGGTGTGTGTTGGGTAGGTGAGGGGCGTATGCGCCTCAGATGTCACTGTTAGTGGGAATATTTGCGTTTTGTCTCTTTCAGGGCTGAGACGACAAGGAAGTGCTTTTCACCCCTGCTCCCTTTCATCCCCCCCTTCCCACCCCCCCTTCTCCCCTCTTCTCTCCTCATCCTCTTCTCTCACTTCACGAGCGTTAACAGAGTATCATGTGAACGGGTGGGACGACCCGCGCCTCATGACCCTCTCAGGGCTGAGTACGCTGCAACCCGTACCCGTTCTCCTCATGTGCTGCCCCGCATTCCCCTCCCCACCCCTGGCCTGTCCCTCCAGCTGAACCGGCTGGTGACAGATCATCATGTGAACGGGTGGGACGACCCACGCCTCGTGACCCTCTCAGGGTTGCGGAGGAGGGACGCCCACTTTGCTCTACCCCCTTGATTCCACGACGTCCCAACCCTTCTCTCACCCCTTCTCACCCCATCAAACCCCTTCTCGGCCCTTCGTGCCCCTTGCTTATCCCCAACCCCACCGCTTCTCCCTTCCAGCTGAACCGGCTGGTGACGGATCATCATGTGAACGGGTGGGACGACCCACGACTCATGACGCTGTCAGGGCTGCGGAGGAGGGGCGCCCACCCCGCTGCCATCAACGCATTCTGCCGAGCCGTGGGCATCACGAGAAAGTGAGTTGAGCTGAGGGCAGGGGGGGAATGAGTGTGACAGCCCACTGTAGTCATGTTTTAGATGTCTTTTGCACCGTTTGATCGCAGCAAGAAACTGATTAGAGGAAACCTGTCTGCCAGATTTTGTGAGAGAATATCTGAACCGCATTGCACCTTCAGGACGACCTCCTAGGCCCTTGTCAACTCTCCTGTACCCCTGTATACCCCTCTGCACCGCTTCGTTCCGTGTCCCAGTGAGAATGTGATCCGAGTGGAGCTGCTAGAGCACTTCATGCGCGACCATCTGAACCGCAATGCACCGCGCTCGCTCGTGGTGCTGAAGCCACTGAAGGTGGTGATTACAAACGTGGGGGAGAAGGAGGTGGAGATGGTGGAGGGTAAGCGATGGCCCGACGCTAAGGAGGGAGACCCAGAGGCAACATACAAGGTGAGGCATTCAGGTTGGGTTTGCGCTGGCCTTGGTGTGGGTCGAATCACCTTGATATTGGTCCTCTGGGGACTGAGTTTGAATGAGGCCACTCAAGGTGGTGATTACAAACGTGGGGGAGAAGGAGGTGGAGATGGTGGAGGGCAAGCGATGGCCCGATGCTAAGGAGGGCGACCCAGAAGCGACATATAAGGTGAGAGGTGCAGATTGAAATGTCTCAAGAATTTGTTCAGTCAAACACATTTAAGCCATCCTTGTCCCCCTCTTCATTCCCCATCGTCCATCCCCCTTTCCCCTCCTCCCCATCCGCGCTTGTACAGTCAATCGAGGAGTTTGAAACTGCATCAGTCGTTTCCTCCAGACCCATTCCTCCACCCTTTTTGCTGCCCTTGTCCATAGATAGCCATCATAACTGCCCTTTTCCGCCCCGCCATTTTGCCCCATCTTTCTACCTTCTTGCCTCCCTCTTCCTGCCTCCTCAACTGCCCTTCTCCCGAGTGGTCTACATAGAGCAGTCTGACTTACGAGGGAAGGGCAGCAAGGACTATTATGGCCTTACTTTTTCCCACACCCCAACCCATTCCCCCCATGCCTTTTCCCCATTTTTCACACCGCACCTGTCTCTGCAGCTGCCCTTCTCCCGAGTGGTCTACATAGAGCAGTCTGACTTCCGAGTGAAGGACAGCAAGGACTATTACGGTCTCGCACCCAACAAATCTGTCATGCTCAGGTGCGGCTCGTGGCTACACTGTTGAGCTGTGTGTGGTGCTGTGGGTGGGACGAGCAGCAGTCTGACTTCCGAGTGAAGGACACGAGGGGCTGTTACGGACGGCCTTGCACCCAACAAGACGGTCATGCTCAGTTGATGTTCCTCTAATCCTCGTTGCCTGTGCCTGTCAGAGTTGACTTTTGAGTCGACTCAAAAGTCAACTTCCGAGTGAAGGACATGAGGGGCTGTTACGGCCTTGCACCCAACAAAGTCGGTCATGCTCGGTTGATGTTCCTCTTATCCTCGTTCCTGTGCCTGGCAGGTACGCGTACCCTATAAAGTGTACCGAGGTCATCTATGCGGAGGATGGCATGACTGTGAAGGAGCTGAGGGCGGAGTGTGACCGGGCCAAGAGCACCAAACCCAAGGTGAGAAAGGCAAGGCCAAGGCGAGAGGCCAATGGATGGAACACCTTTCAGGTCTCTCACCTTGACTATTGAGTGACTTTTGAGGCCAGTGACCTCAAAACGCCCAACAGCTCGCCTTTGCGGTCCGGCCCAAGTGTGTCCGATGCTGAGTGCCTCAACTCAGGCCGAGTATGACCGGGCCAGGAGCAGCAAGCTTAAGGCGAGGATTCATAGGGTCAGCAGTTCGGTGGCGCTGTGCTGGCGCAAGCCATTCTGTGCTGCACAGAGGTGTTTGAAGAAGGGTTTTGAGATGTCTCAAAACACTTCTTTAAACTAAGGGACAGCAGTTCGGTGGCGCTAGCCATTCTGTGCTGCACAGAGGGTGCAATCCGCATCTTCTCTGCTCTCCGTTCGGTTTGGGACTTCGGTTGTCTCTGTCTCCTCTCACCTTCTCATTTCCCATCTACATTTCCTTCCTTCCCTTCCCCTTCTCCCCCACCTCTCATGTGTCTGCCACATGGTGTGGCTCTTTGGGTGGCACCATGTTGAACCTTTTCCTCCCCTTCGTATTTCCGATCCACTTCGCCCTCCTCCCCTCCCCCACAACTCCCCCCTCTCTGCACGCACATGGGGCTATTTCGAGTGGCAACGTCTTAAACCCCTTCCACTGATTCCCCTCCCCTTCTTTCCACCGCGCACAGGGTGTAATCCATTGGGTGGCAGAGCCCCAGCCCGGCCAAATTTGATGCGACTCAAAAGTGCCTTCTTCCCTTTTCCCTCCCCTCCACCGTCTCCCATCCCCCTCTCTACCGCACACAGGGTGTGATCCATTGGGTGGCAGAGCCCCAGCCCGGCCAAGCCCCCCTTACAGTCACAATTCGCCTAATCAACAAGCTCTTCCTCTCCGAGGTATGCTGGCCTGGAATTCTTGTCAATTTCAAGGTATGTTTTTTTCCGAGGTATGGTTTCTGGAAGGTTCGCTGTTCTCTAAGGTGTGGTTGTCTTGGAGGTATGCGTTTTTCTGAGGTTACTGTTCTCCGGTTCTCCCCATTCCCTCTGTTCTTGCACTTCAAAGTCACCACTCTCTCTGTTCCATGTCCTTCCTGACTGGACCACAACGAGATGGACGACTGGCTGGGGGACCTGAACTGCGAACCCATGGACGAGATTCAGGGAGCGCTGGCAGAGCCTTCCCTTGCTCCAAACCCAATCCTTTCTCTCTCCTTTTACCACCTCCCCTACTGTGCAGAACCCCAATGAGCTGGAGGACTGGCTTGGGGACCTGAACCCTGAGTCAATGGAGGAGATTCAGGGAGCGCTGGCAGAGCCCTCCGCTTTTCCCCCCTACCCATCGTTCTGCTCTGGATCCCTGTTGCCACCCCCCTTCCCTTCTGTTCAGAACCCGAACGAGCTGGAGGACTGGCTGGGGGACCTGAACCCCGAGTCCATGGAGGAGATTCAGGGGGCGCTGGCAGAGCCGTCGCTGGCAGGGAAGCCTGCTGGCAGCACCTTCCAGTTCGAGAGGCTTGGTACGTAAAAAGAGAAGAGGGGGGGAGGAGGGGAGGGGAGAGGAGGGTGCAGGAAGTTTTTTTTGGAAAGAATTGTCTCTTTTGCAAGTTTTTGCCTTGGGTATGACACGCTCATTTGATGAATGTTTTCTCATCGATGTGTCCACTTTTCTTCTCGCAGGCTATTTCTGCGTCGACACTGATTCCACGGACACTAGCCTGGTCTTTAATCGCACTGTTACACTGAAGGAGTCGTACCCCAAGTTTGGGGCAAAATAAGCCATCATCATTGTAGTTTTTTAATGGTAGGAGAAGGGGAGTCTTTTCATAGACTAGTTGTAGGCAGCCATTATGTACAACCAAATCTCCAAAATTGCAGGCTTGGGACAGGAATATGATATGTTGGATTATAACGGATGAGAGCTCTTGGAAAGAGGCAGTCAGTGAAGAGTATCTGAAGTGTGCACTGTACATTTTCTCAAACCTGTACAATTGCATCTGTGGTGTAACTGTCAGGGAATCCCGAAGTCAATGACGCGGCGTTGGCGAAGATTCGCCGAGCTTCTCCGCAAATCGCCACTGCAGCATTCAGACACGTCTTGCACTGCACGAAAACCCTGAAACCAGCGAGCAGAGCCCACGCGATCTAAGGGCTCTCCGCGGAGCTTCCCGCCAAACCTCTCTGGTCTGGAAAGGCCACCCACAGATAGATGCTCATCCCCGAACCGAACTTCCCCCCCCAGTTCCATGCTTCCCCGTGACCTTTGATTCCACGCGCCACCTTCCGCCAACTTTCCCCCTATCACCCACACCTCCCTCCGCCTGCTCCCGCTGTCCCTTCCCCTTCCGCCTAACCCCTACTTCCCTACTTACGTCCCTGGTTTCTCCTAAATTCTTCCTTTCTTCTCAATCCCTCTTAGCAGGGACTAACTAGTGACCTGTTCTTAGCGTCCCTTCCTGATCGCTCCTTCTGCAAGGCTTTTTCTCCCTTGCGTTGGTTTCCTTGGATTCGCAGTCTCGTGCTGTGACTCGTTCCAATGGCCCCTCTCGTACGTAACTTGACTTCGAGCATGCTTTTTTTTTTCTCCTGTGATCAGCATTTTTCAGTTGATTCGATCAGCCAGTTGCTTCAGCCATTTCCGTTAGTTCTCCACCCGGTAGTTAATCTACATCCCCGAAAGTCATCGTTCTAGTGGTAGCGGATCGGTCATTGTGCTTCCGTCGATTCGCAACTTCCTTACCCTCATTCCTGCCTCGTTTTACTCTGTTCTATTTTCACTCTACAGAAGCTGTACACGTTCTCGCACAACAGAAATGCCTACAAGGCATTGATCGCGGCGGAGTATACCGGGGCCAAGGTCGAGGTCCCAGCGTTCGAGTTCGGCAAGACCAACAAGACCAAGGAGTTCCTCGCCTGGAACCCCATCGGCAAGGTATGTTGTCTGGTTGTTTAATAACACAGATCCGTGTTCTGGTAGCCTGCTCCACTCGTCAACATCCACATGGAATTCACTCTAGCAATTTACGCAAAGTTCAGCCTTCGTTAAGAATTTATACTGTTCTTTTATATCCCTGTCGCTGTCCTCTAGTTGCCTCTCCTGATCTGCTCCACTCCTCCACCCTTCCCCCTCCCCCCATCCAACCCGCCCCTCTCTCCCTCCTTCCCCTTTCTCCTCCTATCCTGATCCATTCCTCGGTATATCCCGGCATTTCTCGGTATCCTGCTTCACTTCTCAACCTTTTCCACCGTCCGATCTTGTCCGATCCTGTCCTAGGGTTGCCGACCTCCAATCCGGTCCGATCTTATCCGATCTTTTCCAATCTTGTCCGATCAGGTTTCAGAAGGCTGTAAGACATCTGTTAGCTCGATCCCTTTTATCATCCTGTCCTCCCCACCATATAGGTGCCAGTTTTGCAGACCCCCGACGGTCCCATCTTCGAGAGCAACGCCATTGCCAAATACGGTAAGGAGTCCTAGTTCTTGATTCCTTAGGGGTTCCCTAATTCTCTGTCACTATGGGTGATATATTTATGTTGTATCTGAGGCATTCAGTAATGACTCTTCCTTTTTTCTGGGTGCAGTCGCCAAGTCGTCCGATAAAGCCGGCCTCACGGGCACCTCGGTCTATGAAACAGTAAGAGCTTCCTTAATTGTAGCATTCTAGGGTACACCCTTCATTTATTGTTCGTAAAGCGGGTGTTTTTATTTTCGTCTCTGCGTATTTCCTCCCCACCCTTCTTATGATCGTTGAATTGCCCCCGTTTCATTACTGGAAGGTTTCGCGTGCGCTCTCTTTTTTGTTTATCATTGGTTTCGTTTGTAGCTTATTTATTTTTCCAACTCTTCGTGTACATCGTGAACAGGCTTTGATCGACCAATGGATCGACTTCACAACCAACGAGATCGACTCGCACCTTTGGAGGTGGTTCGCCCCCTACTACGGCTACGGAACCAAGAACCAGGAGGTACTGTTTCGACCTTCCGCCTTCTCTTGGCCTCAAATCCTAGTCTACCCTTTTCTACGGGTACGGCACTAAGATCCAGGAGGTATGGTTTTGAGACGCCTTGAGAGCCTGATTCTGCCGCTAATGCTAACGCACCAAGATTTTGGAGTCAATCTCGCCCGTCCGCCTTTCCTTCTCCCGCTTCCCTCCTTGCTTGTATCTCCTTTAGCGCTTTTTCTCGACCCCTTTCCCGCCTTTCTTTCGCCGAATATTCTGCATCTGACTTCCTTTCCTCCTGCCGTTTGCTTTTTCCTATTGAGCCACCACTTCCATGCTTCGTCCGATCCTCTCAATTGCGTTGTCCCCATTCCCACTCTTCCCCCGCCCTTTACTTCTCTCCTTCCCAACCCCCAACTCACAAAAAGTGGAGTCTAAGGCTAAAAAACCGTGCACTGACTCTCCTCCTTCTTTCCATTCCCCCCCTTCCCCTTTGTTCCCTTCTCCGCATCCCCCCCCCCCCCCGGCCCCGACCACCCCTCTCCCCCGTTTTCCCCTGCTCCGCAATTTCCCCTCTTTCCCCCGCTCCTTATCAGGTGGAGGACAAGGCGAAGGAGGCGTGCAAACGCGGCCTCGCGTCTCTCAACACGCACCTGGAGTCGAACACCTTCCTCGTCGGTAATCGGGTTACCCTCGCCGACATCGTCGCCGTTTCGCAGCTGTGGACCGGGTACATCACGATGTTTACCCCCGAATTCATGAAGGAGTTTCCCCACGTGGACCGGTTCTGGAACACGCTGATCAACCAGCCCAAGGTCAAGAAGGTCATCGGGGAGGTGCAGCAGGCGCAGGCGCAGCCCACGGGGGTGACCACGTGGGTGGAAGGGCCAATCGGGAAGCTCCAGGCCGCTGCTGCTCCCAAGTCCGCCCCTGCTGCTGCCGCCAAGGTGGGATGGCTGATGGGGATGGCTGATGTGGTTTGAGTGGGGTGGAGTGGGGGGGGGGGGGTTGGAGTAAAGGGGGATGATGGGGGGTGGAGTGGGGGGGGGGTTGGAGTAAAGGGGTGTGATGGGGGGTGGACTGGGGGGATTGGAGTGAAGGGGGGGTGGTGTGGGGTGGAGTGGAGTGAAGTGGGTGGCTTGGGAGGGGGAGTACACTGTTGGAGCTGAAAGGAAATAGACTGGAGGGAAGGGGTTTCTGGGTGAGTATGGTCGCGGAGGAAGCGGAGGCCCTGAAGCTCAAGGGGAAGAACATGTTCTACCTGCTCAGCCCGCTCCTCGCCCCCTGCTCCCCGCTCCTTGCTTCCCTGTCCTCATTCTCCCTGCTCCGTGCTCCCTGCGCCCCTTTGCTCATTACCGTTTCCCCCTGCCCCTTCCCCCCTTCCCCTGCGCAGCCCGCAGCAGCCGCTGCTGACGGCGAGGAGGCGGAGGCGCCGAAGCCCAAGGCGAAGAACCCGCTGGACCTGCTGCCGCCCAGCCCCATGGTTATGGACACGTGGAAGCGGCTCTACTCCAACACCAAGGCCAAGGACTTCCGTGAAGTCGCCATCAAGGGTGAGAATGAGGGGATTGGCACGGGTGCGGAAGGGTGTTGCTAGGGTACGCGTTTAAGGAGGGGGGGGGCGGGGGCGAAGCAGGGGGTGATGGACACGTGGAAGCGGCTCTACTCCAACACCAAGGCCAAGGACTTCCGTGAAGTCGCCATCAAGGGTGAGAAGGGCTGTAGAGGAAGGGTTTTGAAGGTTGAGTGTGAGTGCTGAGGAAAGGTCCAATGCGTTTGGGAGTTGGGAGAAAGGGTGGGACTGGTTAGCAGGCATGAGAGCTGGGGTATGAGGGCTGCATAGGGATACTCTGCGTCTACAGGGGGGAAGGGGTGGGTGGGAGGGCAAGGAACGATGGACTTGTTAAAGCGTAGCTTCTTTTAATTGAACACCCAAGGCCAGAGACTTGAGATATTTATTGATTTTTTCAAAACTACCGAAGCCAAGAACTCCGGCACCAGCTCTTATGAGGAAGGAGGGAGCCATGTTGTCCAGCTCACTCGCCCATTCGCCCCCACTGCACGCATTTCCATTTTGCATTCCCCCCCCTTCCTGTACCCCTCTCTCCACCGCCCTCATTCCCCCCAACACACCCCCATCCCCCATCTTCTCCACCACGTCTCCAGGCTTCTGGGACATGTATGATCCAGAGGGCTATTCGCTGTGGTTCTGCGACTACAAGTACAACAAGGAGAACACGGTGCGGTTCGTGACGCTCAACAAGGTGTCGGGCTTCCTGCAGCGCATGGACCTCCCCTCACCTACTCCCTCTCTCTCTTGCGCCCGCCCACTTCCCCCTCTTTTTCCCCTTCTCCCCACTGTTTCCTCCCTGTTTTTCCCCGTTTCCACCTCCCCCCCCCCTCCAGGCTTCTGGGACATGTATGACCCTGAAGGCTATTCGCTGTGGTTCTGCGACTACAAGTACAACGAGGAGAACACGGTGCGGTTCGTGACGCTCAACAAGGTGTCGGGCTTCCTGCAGCGCATGGACCTCCCCTCACCTACTCCCTCTCTCTCTTGCGCCCGCCCACTTCCCCCTCTTTTTCCCCTTCTCCCCACTGTTTCCTCCCTGTTTTTCCCCGTTTCCACCTCCCCCCCCCTCCAGGCTTCTGGGACATGTATGACCCTGAAGGCTATTCGCTGTGGTTCTGCGACTACAAGTACAACGAGGAGAACACGGTGCGGTTCGTGACGCTCAACAAGGTGTCGGGCTTCCTGCAGCGCATGGACCTCCCCTCACCTACTCCCTCTCTCTCTTGCGCCCGCCCACTTCCCCCTCTTTTTCCCCTTCTCCCCACTGTTTCCTCCCTGTTTTTCCCCGTTTCCACCTCCCCCCCCCTCCAGGCTTCTGGGACATGTATGACCCTGAAGGCTATTCGCTGTGGTTCTGCGACTACAAGTACAACGAGGAGAACACGGTGCGGTTCGTGACGCTCAACAAGGTGTCGGGCTTCCTGCAGCGCATGGACTCTCCTCACCTACTCCCTCTCTCTCTTGCGCCCGCCCACTTCCCCCTCTTTTTCCCCTTCTCCCCACTGTTTCCTCCCTGTTTTTCCCGGTTTCCACCTCCCCCCCCCCTCCAGGCTTCTGGGACATGTATGACCCTGAAGGCTATTCGCTGTGGTTCTGCGACTACAAGTACAACGAGGAGAACACGGTGCGGTTCGTGACGCTCAACAAGGTGTCGGGCTTCCTGCAGCGCATGGACCTCGCGCGCAAGTACGCCTTCGCCAAGATGTGCATCCTGGGCCCGGACGCCGGCCCGTTTGTCATCAAGGGCGTCTGGCTCTTCCGCGGCGCCGACGTGCCGCAGTTTGTCATGGACGAGTGCTACGACTGCGAGCTGTATGAGTGGACCAAGGTAAGCTCAGGAGCCAGAACCCAGGGTTTAAGGTGAATGCACCATGTGAGAGGGTGGGGGAGTGCGGGGTCACAGGTCGGGCAAAACGTGGGTGATTGGGGGAAGGGGCTGTCTCGTTGAATGATTATTAAGGAAGGTGGAAAGAGAAGGGGCGCGTGAGTGAGGCAAGTACGCCTTCGCCAAGATGTGCATCCTGGGCCCGGACGCCGGCCCGTTTGTCATCAACGGCGTCTGGCTCTTCCGCGGCGCCGATGTGCCGCAGTTTGTCATGGACGAGTGCTACGACTGCGAGCTCTACTAGTGGACCAAGGTGAGAATCTATAGGGAGTCGGAACCCGCTTGTAAGTTTTTTCTAGAGACGTGCCGCAGTTCGTCATGGACGAGTGCTATGACTGCGAGCTCTATGAGTGGACCAAGGTGAGACTCTATAGGGAGTCGGAACCCGGGCTTAAGTTTTTCTAGAGACGTGCCGCAGTTTGTCATGGACGAGTGCTACGACTGCGAACTGTGAGTGGACCAAGGTGAGAAAGAGGAACAGTGGGAGATCGAGAAGGAGAGTGGCAGGGGTTTGCAATCAGGGAGAGATTGGGGCACTTGGGCAGGTGGATTACGACGAGGTAGGGGTGTGGCATTGGAGCAACGAGGACTATATCCTGTGTGCATAGACTTGCATTTGTTGGGAGTTCATTCTGTTCAATTCAAAGCGATCTCACGGTTTTATTTGCTGTTACCCTTTTCTGCTGTGTTTCCTTCACAGGTCGACCTTTCTGATGCTGCCCAGAAGGAGCGTGTGAGCCAATACTTCGAGGAGCCCGATGAAATTGACGGGCTCGTGCTGCAGGAGGCCAAGTGCTTCAAATGAGAGGGTTCAGAGAAGCAGAGGCTAGCTGAATAACGCAGCTGGTTAATCGTCTGCATCGCAATATAGCAATTTGGGCTAGTGCGTTAGGGAATCTGTTGTAGTGAAAGGCCAACCAGTTGTGTACTGAACTGTTTGCAGTGCACATTGAATGACAGCCTAAACAGCATAAAGATGATAGGAGTTGCTGTCCAGAGAAGAATTGAGAGGTGGTGCGCGAGATGTACACATTGTCAGCTTTCTTGTAGCGACACCATACTCGTTATACGAGATACCTGCATTTGCATGTTGTAGCAACCAAGCAATCAATCCAATCAGAGGTCGCCGAACCCAAACCACGATTCTGTGCTGAGAAATGTGGGCTTTAAAGTTTGCAACGGCTAGTTGTGTGTGTGTCCATTCTTCCAGCAATTGTGCTATTGGGTCATTAGGGCGCTTCACCTGAGGGGCGGAAGGCCAAAATCCGAACCGACGTATCAGTTTGACTGTACGAACAGTATCCCAAATGAGTTCGAACACAAATACGTACAATGAGCGAATGTGACACAGGCCATCACAGGTGACGCCATCGCTATTCGCACACGCGGTCTGTTCGAACACAGCGACGTCGCCCACAAAAGAGCGACGTCGCCAAACATTGGGTCCCTCGCTTGTGTGTTTTCTCGCAAACGTTCATGGGCGACCCGGAAGACTGTGGACCAATCATATCAGTCGTTTGTGCGGAATTGTGTGTCACCTATCCCAACCTGTTCGAACAAACGTGTTCGAACGTGCGGGATGATGAAAATCGTGCTTGAGGTGACAGCTCTGTTCAAATTGGCGAAATTGTGCTTCGCGACGTCACGATCACCACTACGAACATAGGCGAAACGAGTAACGTTTCGCCTGTTCGAACGACTGTGTTGTTCGAACGGCTGGTTTAGTTATTTCGCGACTGCTGACAGCTCTAGTCCGCATTGATCTCGCATTGAGTACAGTCTCCTCCTTTTACGCGTGGTAAACACCGAGCGACACCAGACGACAGCCATGGCGACGTCGTCGCCAGCTGTTCGCCGAAGATCGTCATTCCCCAGCGCCTTGTCGCAGCCGTCGCTCCGCGCATCGCCGTCGCCCGCGCGACCAGTTCCGCCTTCCGCATGGGAACACCCGCCGTCCTCTGCGGAAGCGCGGGAAAGCCCGGCGGGAAGCGGTCGACCGCGGTGGCGCCGGCGCCGCGAAACCGCCGGCACCAGTGCTGGCGCCGCCGCGATCGGCGCGTTTCAGACGTATCGCCATCCGTTGATTGATAAGATGCTCGAAGCGCAGCGAGGCATGCCGACGCTGACAGATGCCACTGTCGCGGCAGGAATCGCGGTGACCGCTGGTCTCCTATTGGCTGCGACGCGACCGAGGTAATGGTTCGTCCTGAATCGGCGCTAGAAGAAGGGTAGCGATGGACAGTTACATACAACTGACGGACGATTGACAGACAAAGACAGGAAAATGGCAGAAAACGACAGAAAACTGACAGACAACTGACAGACGGTTCAACCCGAGCAGCAACAGACAAATCCAACGTTCAACTCATTGTTTCTCCAGCCCTTCACGATCCATTGACTTTTGTTGTATTTCTTCCTTCCGCCTCGTTCAAACTATACCCCATTCACAAGCCTCAAACCCGCATGTAAATGCAGGGAGCAGCAGGTGTGGGTCTGCCTGGTGTTTTTGAGAATTCTCAAAAACACCCTGCCTGGTGGATTTGAGAAGGCACGGGTGGTGACACGACACGGCATTGATCCGCCTCTCCTTGTTGCATTCAACCTTGGATAACAAACATCCGCAAACTTGAACTCCACTTGTCTGCCTTGTACTCGCGTGTGCAGGGAGCAGCAGGTGTGACTGGCTGTTGATGCAAGCATGGGTGCTATTGGATGCCTCTTTCTCAGTCCTGCCGCTTCTCTCTCTCCCTCCTTTTAGAGTATTTTTGAGAATTCTCAAAAATACTCTGCAGGCATGGGTGCTATTGGATGTCCCTTTCTCAGTCCTGCGGCTTCTCTCTCTCCCTCCTTTCCCTTTGCTCTAATCATACTCCACCTGTACTCCCCTGCTGCAGGGAGCAGCAGGTGTAGTCTCTCTCTCCCTCCTGTACTCCACTTGAACCCGAATGTTGTGTGCAGGGAGCAGCGGGTGTGGGACTGGCTGGTGGATGCAGGCATGGGTGGTGACGCAGCAGGGATCTCCCTTCCTCCTCTCCCTCGCTCAAATCATACTTTCTTCATCTGCCGTGTACCCGCATGACGTGTGCAGGGAGCAGCAGGTGTGGGACTGGCTGGTGGATGCAGGCATGAGTGGTGACGCATCAGGAATCCTCCTCTCCTCCTTGCAAGTCTCTCTCTCCGTCCTTCTCCTCCTCTCTCTCCTCTCCCTCGCTCAAATCATCTTCGCTCGAGTCAAGAACCCGACGAAGCCTCCCTTCTCCTCCTCGTTTTCCGAATCATTTCCCCTCCCTGCTTCCCCATTCACCTCCTCTCCGTATGGTTTGAACCACAACCACCACCACCACCAGCAGCAGCAGCAGCCGCAACAGCAACAGAACCAGCAGACTTTCTTTGCTTCTCCCCTTGTTCCTCAACGATTGGCCAATCTCCCTGTTGCACCTGGCACATCCCTTCACAATCCCACACCGTCCTCGCCACTCCCCTCCCCATCTCCCTCCTCGGGACCTGTCTCCTCCTCCCCGTTCCCCACTCTCCCCCTGTACCCCCAGAAACAACGCCCATTTGCAAACATCTATGGTGCTTTCTTTAAGCAGCCTCAGGCCCAGAATCATAAGCAGCAGCAGCTGCAGCTGCAGCAACAGCAACAGCAGTACCAGCAGCAGCTGTATCAGCAGCAGCAGTATCAACTACAGCAGCAGCAGTATCAACTACAGCAGCAGCAGTTGCTACAGCAGGAGCCTAATCGAGCCTATTCCTTTCCCAACCAACCCTCTCTCTCTCCCACCCCTTCTATTCTCCATCACCCTTCCCACTCCCCACTCTCTCACTCCTCTCCCGTCCCCTCCTCTTTCTCACACCCTCCTTTCTCGCACCAACCAACACCAGAAGCAACAACTGCTGCTACCACAACCATCGCCCCTACCTCCCTCCCAGCCCTCCCCCACCACTCCCACTCCCTCCTCTCCTCCTCCTCACTCTCTCACTCACTCCACCCTTCCCTGCCTTCCCCCCATGCTGCCTCTCTCGCGCAATCTCTCCCCTTACCCCTGGGAGGCAGGAGAAAGCAGGTGGAAACAAAGGAAGAGCTACAGCAGCTGCTAATGAACCTAGATGGTAAACTGGCAGCAGCAGCAGCTGCTGCATTTGCTGCTGGTGGTTCTGCAGATGGGGAGGGAATGGGTGGGGGAGCAGGAGCGGACGGGGGAGATGGAAGGGGTATTGTGGGTGGAAGAGGTAGAGCAGCCGAAGGAGCAGCAGCGGCAGCAAGAGGAGGTGGAGAAGGAGGGGCAGGAGACAGAGGAGGGGATAACTCTGCCTCTTATCCGACGGGCTATTATCAGTTTCAACCAGAATATTTTGACCGCCTTCCTCCTATCTCCCCACGTACCCTTGCCGATTCTCTCATTCCCACCACTCCCAATATCCCCCGCTCCTCCTCCCTAGGAGCCTCTGCCTCCCCCCTCCCCCCTTCCTCCTTTTCCCCCGCTTCCCCTCTCCGGTCCTCCTCTCCACCACCATTCTCCACCCCTTCCCACCGGCACACACACACGGACGCCACTGCACCGTTCTTAACCACCCCTCAACGTTACATCCTCCCTTCTTCTCTCTCCACACCTCCTCCCTCCACAGGCCACCCAGACCTCTATAATCCCTCCTTCACCTTCCCTCGCTCATCCCTTCCCTTCGATACAGTCACATTGGACAACGCCCCATCCTCTCCCCTTTTAGTCCACCCTAGGTTAACGCCTAGCCCCTCTCGGGCCGCCATAGTGGGGAAAAAAGGTGAGGTGGAGAGATTAAAGCCCATGTTGCCTGAAGAAGAAGAGGAGGGCTTTAAGCGCCTGGGGGTGCTGCAGTGGAGGGACACGTGGCGCGATGGGATTCGCCAATGGTTTTCACAGCACCTGCTGAAGGCGCTGGTGAAGAAGATCGAGGCGGCGCCTAGCAAGGTGTGGTGCGGTGGGGATGGGTGGAGGTGGGTGAACGTGAATGAATGAGGATGGGAATGGGTGAGGGTGGGTGGCATGAGGAGGAAGGTGGGTGCAGGAGAGGAGAGTGGGTGAGGCTGGATGAGCCTGGGTGGGGATGGTGCATGGAGCAATGGGGGTGGGATGGGGCTAGTAGGAAGGAATTCGCCAGTGGTTTTTGCAGCACCTGCTGAAGGCGCTGGTGAAGAAGATTGAGGCGGCACCTAGCAAAGTGCGGTGCGGTGGGGATGGGTGGAGATTGGTGATGTTAGATATAAGCAAAAAACCGAACCTGGGTTCGGTTCGGTCGAACCGGTTCGAATTCTCTTCGAACCCAACTTTTTTTCACATGTAAAAGGTTTGAGCAAACTGTAAACGGTTCGCGCAAACCGTTCGTGCGAACTTTTTTGGTTCGTGTTCCTACCTTTAAACCGAACTAGTTCGAAGTTTGAAAATGGCTATTTTGAACTTCGCAGGGTTCGAAATAGCCCCCAGCCAGATCCAACTCCCAGTCAAAGTCGGGAAATGTTGTAGAGTTGGCTGCCATTCACGGCAGCCAACCCCTAGATCGTAAGTTAAGGCAGATCTACATATGCACCTACCTGACTACCACACCCATGCTACCTCCCTACAAGTCATTACATCTCCCCTCGTAAGATGTTCCTACGTTTAGGTGTTAGATTGGTTTGACCCTTCATTGTTTGGGTGTTTGATTTTTTTAGACCCCCTCAATTGCTGTTCTGTTTAGAACTTGATACCCGAACCGTCCGACGCGCATGCCTCTTACATTTCCTTTTGCATCAGATTTCCCCTAAACCTAACTAGGTTCGCGTTCGCCCAAGCCTTTCAATGTTTGTGCAAACCTTGAAGGTTCGATGTTACAAATCCAAACCTCAAACCTCAAAGTTACAAAAAAAAGTTCGAGCAAAGCAGTTTGGTTGGGTTTGACCACAATGCAAGGTTCGAAAAAGTTTGAGCAAACATGTTTGAGTTCGGTTCGTGCTCATATATAGGTGACGTGGGTGAAATTGTGGGAAAATGGTTGAAAGTGGGTGAAAATGGGTGAAAGTGGGTGAAAGTGGGTGAAAGTGGATGGAGTGAGGAGGGTGGATTATGGTGAGGGTGGATGACGGGCTGTTGGGGAATGATGCATGGAGTGATGGGGGTCTGGAAGGCATTTTGCGCCATTCACAATACCTCTCCCTCCCACTGCAACCTCATTCTCTCCTTCCGCCCCCCATCACCCTTCCCCTCTCTTTCCTCTCTGTTCTCCCCACCTCACACCCCCACTCACAGCTGTCAGCAGCAGCAGCCCCTCTTGGCCTCTCCCTCTCCCTCGAACCTCTCCACAGCCTCGGAAACTCCGCCGTACCTCCGCCCGCAGGCTCGGCAGGTTTGGCCCAGACCTCCACCCCAGGCTCGGCAGGAGTGACAGCAGGAGGCAGCTCTGGTTTGGGCGTGGGAGGGTTGGGAGGAGTGGAAGGAGGGGGAGTGGAGGAGGTGGGGGGAGGGGGGAGAGTGGTGGTGGTGCAGGGGAGTGTGATGGGCGAGAGGGAGGGATTGCAGCAAGTGAAGGGGGTGCTGCTACAGTTGCTACAATCGGCCAATCAAGCAGGTGTGATAGTGACAGGTGTGATAACGGTTGCCAGTGTGTTTGTGGAAGCATGTGTTACCGTAGGTGCAGGTGTGATAGGAGGTGGGGGGAGGGGGGAGAGTGGTGGTGGTGCAGGGGAGTGTGATGGGGGAGAGGGAGGGATTGCAGCAAGTGAAGGGGGTGCTGCTACAGCTGCTGCAGTTGGCCAGTCAAGTAGGTGTGATAGGAGGAGCAGGTGGGATCACAGGTGTAGGTGTGATGGAGCAGGCGGTTATCCGAGTGTTAAGAATCAGGACGTCTCACACCCCATGCTAACAAGTCATTTTATCCTGACGGGTAAATCTAATCCTGGTTGCTATGCATGTTTGCTTCTTGTTGCGCCAAAAATATATACAACAAATCACACTTATAAGTCACCTGGTCCGAACCGAAGGGGACATCCCCTACAGGGTGATAGGCATGTTTGCTTCTGGGTGCTGTGTGGGTGTGATCACAGGTGCTGGGTCCATGTTGATTTTTGAGGCGCCTCAAAGATCACAGGTGCTGGGTCCAGGTTTGGGCAGCTCAAGTTTCCATTCGTACCCCACTTGCAAATGTTTGCTTCTCCTTTGCTCCCCCACTTCTGTCACCACGTCTCGCCTTCTTCCTCTTTTCTTTTCTTCCCTTCGTCCCCTCTATTCCGTATCAGCCCGTCCTGCTGGATCCATATGTGGCCTGCACGTGCCAAATTCCAAGCCTGGTCAAATCATAGTTTGAGGCGCCTCAAAAGTCGTCTCCGTGTCAGCCGCTCCTGCTGGGTCCAAGTTCGGCCTGCTCCAGCCACGTTGCAAGCCAGCCCAAGTTATCTCCCATTACACTACTTCTGAGGATCTTTGCTTCTCCTTCGCTATTCTACTTCCTCACTTCCCCCCTATATCTAACCAGCCCCACCTGCAGGGTCCATTTTCGGCCTGCACCAGCCGCAGCAGCAGCAGCAACAGCAGCAGCTTGAGGCACAGAAGGAAGCTGCAAGGAACCTTCTGGCAGCCATAGCGGACTACGAGCATCTTAGGGACGTCCTTAGAGGCCACTGGGCCAAGGGGCTGCTGCCACGTGGCAGCATGCCATTGGAATACAGCACTCAACGAATCAAAGGTAGCGTGACAGGTGCTAGAGGGGGGGGGGGGTGATTAAAGCATAACTCCCTCTAAGTACTCTCTCAAGCATATCTCCATGGTTTCCTTTTGCTATTTTCCGGTCCGTTCATTCGCTTCACATCTTCCCAGTTCCCTCTCACTCTCTCTCTCCGTCTATCTTTCCCAGCCCTAGCAGCAGGGTCCTGTCTGCGCTGCTTCCAATGGTCAGCAGGAGGAAGCTTCCTAACACGGGACACCACCCGTACCCCCACCACTAGCTCCTCCCCCGCCGCTGCCATACCCAGCAGCACCACTGCTTCTGCCACCCCTACGCACCATTCCCTCCACTCCTCCTTTCCCCCTGAAGCTCTTTCCCCTGCCCCTAGCTCGCCTGCTCCATCATCCCCTTCCTCTTTCTCCCCCTCTCAACCCTCCTCTGTTTCATACTCCTTACAAGCTGCTCCAGAAGGCGTGTTCCTTGTGCCCTGGACTTCTGACCTCCCCACTGATGCCCATCTACTGGCCTATCTCTTTGCTGCACACCTGTCTCATCCCCATTGGCTGGATGACTACCTCCAATCGCCACTGCCACAGCAGCAGCAACAGCAACAGGTTTCTGCAGCTGCTGCTACAATGCCGGCTACAGCTGCTAGCTTCGCCGCCCAAAATCCCCTCGTCGTGGGTGGCTCTCTCCCTCGTGACATCCTCGTGCCGCTTTCGTCCTCTTCCTCCTCTCAGTCACCCTCTGCCCTTCTGGGCGGCAGGTTCACGGCCATTGTGGGATCGATTCCACCAGCTAATGTTAGGGTGCCACCTGGCGCTGATGTGCTTGTGATAACAAGGGATGCACCTCCTGTTTTCGTCCTTTTCTGGGAATGCCAGCCGTCCTTCTGTCTACAGGTGTGTTCTTCTCTTCGTCAATTTTCGTATCTAGTTGCACCATTGTCACAAGGCATGTGGCACACTGCCTTGGAACAAATGTTGGTTTTTTCTTTTCTTTTTACATACCTTGTTTTCCACCCTTTTCTCCTGTCTTTTGTGCGATCCAAGCAGGGGAGGTTTGCATTGTGGGATGCTGTTTTGTTGCTGTGCCTTGGGGTGCATTTGCACCAAGGTGGCGTAATTGGTGATGTTAGCCTGTCTTCTCCATCTCTGGCGCTTTCTACTGTAATGGTGCCCGTCATACCTCCAATTAGCTCTTGAACATACTGAAGATGGTTGGTGTACTTTGGTTTTTGAATTTGATGCTTGTGTTAGTGAGTGTTACTGGTTTTCTCGTCGAATTTGAAATAGATGCACCTTTCTTGTCACGTGCTTGACATCATGAAAATCATCCGCAAACCGCGGGCTAGGCGTCAGGTGAGCCTCCCATATATCAGGCCCGATGTCCACCAATGACACCGCACCAAATCAGCTGTCCGCGCCCCGCGCGGTGAGGCACTGAGGCTGCCCTCTCTTGTGTAACCAGCACTGTAACCAGAATTTGGAAATGAGCATATCACGTGCTCGCTGACGTCTACTGTACTTTCCTACGTGGATTACGTGGTTCTCGATCTGCGCGTGCACCTCAATGAATGATGCAGTGTAGGAGGATAGGAGCCGCCGACAGGATGTTACTGTACCTCCCTCCACCACTCCATCCCCTCCCCTATCGCTCCTCCCGCACTTGCGGTCCACCGCCCAGAAGGTCACAAGTCATTCCACGTCAGCGAGGCTCCAGCCTGTTTCCTTTCACAGTTCGTCGATATTTTGAGCAACGGTACAGTTGGCTAATTGCCAGCACCAACTTCCGTTGCTGGGGGCAATGAACAAGGCCTTGATGCCGGGTTCCTCTTGGAACTGATGTCGGTCCGCCACCACACTGTATGCGTTGTTTCTGCATCTACAAAACACAGAACCTCTTCTTACCCAGGAGAAAAAAATCATTCCCATTGGCAAATCTGCGTCATAGAGCTCAGATGCATTGTACACCCTGTTTCGCGCTAGCAGAGCATCTGGTTGCAGAACATGCACTGGTTGTAGAACGTCACCACGTTTGAAATGGTCTTATCACCGACGGTACAAGCACATTCACAAGAAAGCGGTTAGCTAGGATGCTGCATGGTAAAGAACATTAAACAAGCGTTTCAAAGCGGTTGAAAAGGGTATACAGCGATAAAGAAAAAATTTGCCCCCAGTACCACTCCGTCAGCTGGTGCGGCTTTGCCCGCAGGTTTCAGCCATACGGTTTATGGCACCTGACCGCCCTGTAGCAGCGAATCGCGCAAGGTGAGAGGGTCGAGAAACAGGGTGTAGTGGCAACGACCAAGCTTTTCCCCCTCTGGTGCCTGCGTTTGCCAGCTGTTTTTGCATGTGCGTATTGTCTGAGCGAGCTGTACACTGCATGCGTATGAATGAAGCTCCCACTCCACCCCGTGATTTGCGGTACAGCACAAGCAAGCACCAGAGCACGAGGGAAACTACTACACCCTGTTTCGCGCTAGCAGAGCATCTGGTTGCAGAACATGCACTGGTTGTAGAACGTCACCACGTTTGAAATGGTCTTATCACCGACGGTACAAGCACATTCACAAGAAAGCGGTTAGCTAGGATGCTGCATGGTAAAGAACATTAACCAAGCGTTTCAAAGCGGTTGAAAAGGGTATACAGCGATAAAGAAAAATTTTGCCCCCAGTACCACTCCGTCAGCTGGTGCGGCTTTGCCCGCAGGTTTCAGCCATACGGTTTATGGCACCTGACCGCACTGTAGCAGCGAATCGCGCAAGGTGAGAGGGTCGAGAAACAGGGTGTACAGAAGCGTCACACTTCCACTACAGTATAGCCAGAATAGAAGCCATTGTCGTGTGGAGTCAACAGAGGCGAGACGAGACGTTGGGCATCTGACAGGACAATGACGTGACTGTAAGTTGCACATCAGCGACAAAAGACAGACGTGAACAAAAACCGCCAACGAGACCCAATCAAGTGCGGCGTAAGATACGGCGTCAAACGGCTTATGACTGTGATCGTTAACTCTTTGATCCATAGCGCATCGCAATCGAAGAAGGGCCATAGGGAAATCCATGATCGAGGAGTGCTGAGCGAACCAGCCTGTGGAAATGATGAAGCTGCGAGTCACATATTCCGACTGTCGCAGCGCGTTTCGGTTTTACCGTACCGGTACACGCACTTGTTCGCCATCCTTACCACTCGTTCCATTTTTCTGGCGGCTTGTCCCTTCTCGTTGCAACTGCTCCATGCACATCATGTGGCTTCAAACAATCGCCCAGCCTCTGCTGACACCATTGATACAATTGATGCCTGTTTGAGCCCCTCCCGGTTGCCTTGTGAAGGGGGCGTATAAGCTGTATCGTGCAGATCGCATAAGTTTCGTCAATTCGCAGCTAGCTAAAAAGGATTCGCAGGTGCTTACATTAAGTTTCTGTAACAATATTCGTTGACATTTTGACTTCAGTCTCTTCAGTTTGACTTCAGTCTGTTCGTTACTATTGGTCCATAACCACGCGATGCGCTTTTATGGTGGGTGCAACAGGCTGAGGAAAGGACCTCGGGTGCAGCGTTTTTATCCAGTGCAGGGCAAACTCGCGTGCACTGGCTGGGCATCATGTGTATGTGGTCTTCAGCAAAAGATTCTGTTTTGGTCACGACTCTCCCAAGTCGTTCTCTTCAGGCTTCTCTGGTTATATTTCTTTTTCGTCCTTCCACTCTTCGCCTTCACTTCCTTCACAAACCCAGTTCTCCGTCTTGGCCTTCTCATCAGTCGTTGGAATTCATTTCATTTTCCTTAGCTCTGGTTTCCACACTATGGCGGCACAAGTAGCCAGTAGGCGAGGGTCGACAGGGCATCAACCTGCTCTACGAACTATCCAGACTGCTTCTAGCAGCAACAACCTCAACACCTCGCAGCAGCGCCTTCTAATGGGTCATCCCCAGCAGCAGCCAAGTCAGCAGGACAGAATACCAACGGCCAGCCCTCGTTACAACCCCGCTCGCAACAGCAACTACAAAACCCAGTTAACTAACCCTTTTGTTGACACTGAATACCGCCTTCCCCAGCCACAGCCGCAACAGGGTCTACAGCCGCGTCGCCACAGACGCTCCTGCTCCATGACGGACTTCGTCCCTGATTTAATCATCCCCGACACGTACGCCCAGACGCCATCCCCAGTTCAAGATCCCTTCGTCGCTAACGGCGCTAGTGGCTCCATACCCGATATTTATTCCCCCAATTATTCCCCTGGACCGGTCTCCGCACCTTGCGCTCTGCCTTTCTCTCCGACAGAGACCATCCCAGAGATTAGAACCAAGGCGTCCACGCCTCCACCCGTTACAAGCAGCAAAGCGGTTCCTCCGCGCCGCGGTCGCCACGTCAGACGCAGTTCGTGGTCAGGCAATCGACCAATCGCCTTCGACGAACCAGCTGAGGTGGAGTCATTCGACCTGCTAGTGAACTCGGGGTTTCAAACCGCCACCACGGACAACGGCGCGTTTTCAAGCGCTCAAGAGACAAGCAACACAGCGGCGTTTCTCGGAAACCGGAAATCTTTCGACTCCGATTCCCCCTTCCTCGTCGCATCGTCGCCCCGATCCCAGGGCGACATCGTCGGGCGAAGAGTCCCAATTGGCTATCCAACTCCTTCGATCTCTTCCCGCAAATCTGGATTTTCGACACCGCGGATCGCAGCTACTAGCGCGGATGCCGACGCTGACTCGGACGACGAGTTCGTCGAGCTGTACGGGAACGCCAGGCGGCATCGCGCGGAGGCTGCGCGTGCGCTGAACGCGCTGGAGAAGCTCGTTTCAACGTCTACTACAAACATACGCGCTGCTACCGCTGCCAGTCCAACAAAGTGTAGTAATGATAATGGAGTGATCCGTAGTAGCAGTGGGACAAAGATCAGATCGCTTGTCCCTCTGTCGCCCACGTCCTCGCCAACAGCATCGTCAGCGGCGGGCGATAAGAAACGGTTTTCGCAAGATCGTAATCCGCCGGGTCGTTCGCCAATGTCATCCCGCATCTGCCGCACGATCTTCGGACAAGGTTCGGCGCGCAACTTAACACATGCTACCGATGCCGCAGCACTGGTACCGTCAAGATCTACGTCGACGCAACCTGCACCGTCGATGAAGAGCGCCATGCCGAATAGGGGGGGTACCTTGCCTTTCGGCATGCCTAGTAGCAAGGCTGCGCCTCCGAACAGCCAATCAGCTGCTATGATCAAATCACCTACATGCATGACGGGAAGGCCAGAGAAGGCTGCCCCAAGCCCCAACTTTCTTACAAACGCAAATGTAACCTGCGATTCGCCATTCGCTCGCGGAGGGTCGCTGACGACAGGTGATGATCGCCTTCAGCGCAGGCGATCTCACGATGACGGAATCAGGCTTTCGCCAAAGGTGTGCGACACGCGGGTGTTACGGCGCGTTAGCTTCAGCTCAGATGTGGAATTTATCACGGAGAGGGAATGACGAGCATATTTTGTGGAATCTCGTGATGTGCATCTCTTACGGTACTATGAGGATTTTTTCATACGAATATATACATTCACAGGAGAGAAGAAACATCAGGAATAAAAAATGCACCTTTAGATGCATCTCATGAATGTGCTCTGATTGGTTGTTATTTTATCCCTCAAATATTTTATGGAGGTAAAGAGGTTACCATTAGCAAATTTGCTATTGGTTACGGTATTTCCCTATCAGAATGAATATAACAGAACATTCCCTAATCAGATACCTAATATTTTTCATGGATGTCGTTCGCTTACCATTAGCAAATGTTTTTTCTCTCAGTTTTGTATTTGTGGGTGTAGTACGTGTACAAAACAAGAATGTAAAACATCAGCCGTCGTTACTGATGATTTTAAGTGTACTGCTTATGACAAATTATCTTCCAAAAAAAGGTCAGGACGCTTGACCGATATTCACAAGTCTCGCGCGACGCGCGTAACTTGTCTCTCCTTGGCAGTGTCTCCGACCTGTTGTTGACTTCCGCTGCTGTTTGTTGTGCACCTGTGGGTCATCAGTGCTGCTTGCTTGCCTTGTTTTGTTCAGCAATGGGTACAGTCGATGTTCGTAGTAGTCTCAAGGGTAACTAGCTTTAACAGGGGTAATACTAGCGACCCTGCGCTTTTCAAGAAACTACAGAGTTAGTTGCGTACACTTTTCGCCCCTCCGTCCCTCCGACAGGAAGTTTATTGCAA